AATGCCCTGCTACAAATTGAGCATTTGTAAGGCTTCTTACCTGTGTGGGTTCGAAGATGAGTGGCAAGATAACCTTTTCTGAACGTCTTGTAGCAAATAGTACACTCGGAAAACATCTCTTCAGTGTGGGACTTACGATGGCTTGCAAGTCCACTTCCTGTACTGAACGCAATGTTGCAATCCTTGCACTGCAGTAGCTTCCCCCTATCGTGTGTTTTAAGATGGGCCTTCAGTTTCTGCTTAGAACTGATCTCCTTGTTACATACTGAGCAAACGAAAGAATTTTTGGCTGAATTGGTACTCAAGTGGGTAGCGAGAGCACTTCTTGAATTGAACGTCTGGTCGGAAACCGTGCACTCCGATTGCATCTCTCCAATGTGCGTTTCGAGGTGGGTCAAGAGACTACTCCTTCGGCCAAAACACGAATTGCAGACTGTGCATCTGAAGGACGGTTCTTCCGGACGGGCCATGACGTGTATTCGAAGGTCGTTTCAGAAATATCCAATGCGGCTGTCTTGTGTTCCTTGAAGGTGGACGGACAGCACGCAGAACACGAATGCAACTGAAACAGAAATCAGGTTGTTCATGTGACCTACTTGGGATGTAGTAGTAATCCAGGAATGTGACGCAACGTTCAGTCGGCAAACTACAGTAAGAGAAAAGGCGGGGCAAAACAGAACGCGCCCAAAGTGTCCAAAATTGCGTAACGTGAAATATGGACCACCCGTTATAGATCAATGCGACTCCGGAAGGACATGAAAAGTGTCCTTGCAGTCGTCCAGTCTTTGATCCGGTTTGTCAAATGGCGTTCGGATGTCAACCATCCGACACTGGAAAAACAAAGGCATAAAAATTAAGCCCTTGAGGGCATAAATACTCTTATGCCCTTGGAAAGGGCGTGAATGGTATAGGAATTTCAAGCAAAATTTTAATGCCCTTCCCAAATGCATTAACGATTTATGCCCTATAAGAGCGTAAATCGTTTACGCCTGTAGAGGGCATAATTTTAATGCCTTCACTGAGATTCCAAACGCTATGAGTATAGCAAGTATGGTGCAATGCAGCTGAGATATCGCACCATACGTGCTATGCGATAGCCATATTGCACCTTACGTGCAAATGCGTCCCGAAAATGCCCCATGCTATTGTATGGGAATGTGGAGGCATTGCACTTCATGTGCAATGCTACTCATAGCGTTTGGATTCTCAGTATTTGATTCACAAGTGGACTCTTTAAACTAACCTTTAGAAGCTCAGATCCTTCATCGAAATTATAGGGTTACAATCGTACTAAAAGATACCGTAAACCGGGGTAACTTGAGACAGCAAGGGTAACTTGAGACACTTCTGCTTTTCCACATTTTTGGAGCTGCCACTTGGCTCGGCACATTCCGAGGTCAAAACTGCCCTAGCACTTTTTTTTATACCTGTTTGGAAAGACGATTAAGCGTTTGAACGGCGGGTTAGGACCAAAGCTGGTCAGTTTTATAACGGTTTTCCAATTTTGGTAAATTTAACAGTTTTAGAGAAGTGTTACAAGTCTCCCTAGGTACTCGAAACACGTCTTCCTGAGACCCAATTGGCCGTAGTATTTTTCAACCCTATTAGTTCAACATTCTAAATGCAGCATTGGTTGAGGGAAACCCATCATTCATCGGGTAATACTGACTTTTATAGAAAATGGTAACTGTGCGGGGTGACTTGAGACACCAAATTTCATCGTATTTGACGGAAGCTGCGTGGCGTTACTTGACACTGGCACCTCCTTGTACTACAGGGTGGTTTAAAGTAACGGACCTCTCCGTTCTATGATCAAAATTAAGCCGCATTTGATCGGGAATCACTTTTTTAGTCAGAGTAGAGGGTCCCAAGTGGATATGCAGCTTTAAGTTGGAGTGTTTTCTCAACTACTCACAGACCACATGAGACATAATAAACCTTGAAGTCTCAAAAGATGGGGAATTTAATTACCTTTCCAACGAGCTAAATGTCATTGAAATCGGACAACTTATAGCCCAAGAACCGTCGATTTTTCGAAGAAAAACAACTGTAAAAATATAGTTAAAGGATTTTGAGTAAATTTTAAAAATTGACTAAGACGATGTACCTTTGCAGGAATGGACTTGTGTACGTAGAAATAAAGAAAATTGTCTGAACAGGTGTTAGGGTTAGATGTGAAATGAGAGAATCGCTGTACTTAGTTGACAGGGTTGTATGTGAAATGGGAGAATCGTTGCGCTTCTGAAGTGCCGTTATCCCTAAAATTACCAAATGTAACTTTGATGAAAAACTCTTAATATAAGGATCAAAATTCTACTAATATATTCCCCAAGTACTAATTTTTATTGGAAATAAGTTACATGTCTCAGAAAAACAGTATGGACTGGCAAAAACCCCACTTCCGTGAAAAAACAAAGTAACAAGCTAGGGCCCGCCCTTCCGTCGAACCGAGTTGCCCGCTCCGCTTCGCTGCGCCGGCAACTCGGTTCGACAGGGGGCCGGCCCAGCTTGGCCTGCCGGCGGCCTTTTCTCGGGCCTTCGGCCCTCGCATCAGGCCCAACTTGGCCAGTCGAAGGCCCGGGCCTTCGGCCCGCTCGCTCAGACACACCGTGAGCGGGTAAAAACAAAGTTATCGATGTACCATCGTGACTTAGGCCCGCCCTTCTATTCACAATAAGCAATAGTCCTTACACTTTTTACTCCAACTGTCCTAAGAAATGCCCATTTTTTATTTGTCTCTTCGCCCTCATTCTGAAAAAACCCGCATTTGCCATGCCCTGCAACTCCTTGCAATAGAGGCACAGCAGGAGCGCAAAAAGATCCGTCGCACTTTTTCCCTAACTCATGAAGGCGGGCTCCTGGCCCCCCCCTTTCCCCCCCCTCGTTGAAGAGGGCTTGCCAAGACCTATCCAAAACTTAAGTAAAAATTTTCAGTCGGTCGACCCCCCCTTTTTTTAATATCCTGATGTGACTAATAGACGAAGTCGGGCTCCTGGACCCCCTTTTCCCACCCCTCGTTGAAAAGGTCTTGCTGAGACCAATCGAAATCTGCAATAATTTTTTTTAGTCGGTCGACCCCCTTTTTTGAAGATCCTGATCTGGCGAACTTGTAAAAGCGGCCGATGGGGTCGGGACCAGGTCCATTCATCTTGTCTCGTCGCCCCGATTCCAAAAATACCCCTATGTGCCCTGCTAGCACCAATAATGGCGGAAATCCCCCTCCCGCTCATGTAAACCATGATGCACCTGCAGCAGCTCTTGTGCGAACCCCGGGCGGGATTTGCACCACCGGATTATTTGTTTGGACGGTACTCCTGAAGTACCCTCCAAATCTGGTTACTCTAGCTCAACTCCTTCCTTGTACACAGACGCCAACAAACAAAACAACAAAAAACACAACACAAAGGCAAATGCATAGGCCCTCCCCCTATTTTTTTAATAGAAGGGCGGGCCAAAAACTAGGTGTCTCAAGTTACCCCAAATGACGGGGTAACTTGAGACAACTTTAGAGGCCCCTTACTCTCATTTTAGGGGGACCCCCCCAAAAATTCATGGGGTCCAAACCAAATGTTATCATGTGAAATTAAACATAGTTGGGATTCGGGTTGGTGAGAGAAGTGTTGTGGACACACGGTCCAAAAAACGTGAAATATGGTCTCAAGTTACCCCGGTTTACGGTAAGACTCGTTCAAAATAAAATGCCCTATTCCCGAAAAAAACTCTAACTTCCCTTTGGCGCACTTACTCTGAGAGTCTGGTCTGTGGTATAGAGGCAGGGGGACCGTGCGGTGATCAGAAGCCTGCAGCGGTGTCGAATCGTCTAGAACAAGGCAAATACAAGTGATTATTTAACTTATTTGTCAACCTGTTTGTAGCTTGCCCGGTTCAAGGGAGACATGACCAACATGATGACAAACATGGTTCTTTCACATTGGTCAAAAAGAATTTCATAGAGGCTATATGGGATATTTTGACGGATCTCGGAACCGGAAGTTAAGATCAAAAGTCAGAACCATAACCGATTTAGAGCATGCGCAGAGATGAGACCACTCAAAGGCGTTTCCGCAGGAGCTGTTTTATGATGAAATTTTTCTCTTTGACCCCCGGTTCCGAAATTCACTAAAACATCTTAAGTGAAATACTTGTTTGGCAACTGTGAAAGAATCATGTTTGTCATCATGTCTCCGTTGAACCGGGCAAGCGACCAACAGGTTCACTTCCGGTTCAGGTATCCAATGAGATGCCCCACTGCTTTAGGAGCAGTGCCGAATCCGGAGAACATTTAAGTCTGGTAGACAATTGGCCTGGTACCACCGTACCTCAGCCAGTACGGCTTTCGGGGTACGGAGTACGGTTATTCATAACATAGGCTCTTATGGGAACACTGGTAAAACTAAAGCGTAGTATTACCCTCTGACTTCAAGCGTTATCAGTTTACGCTTGAAATCAAGCGTAACAGGCTCTTCCCCCAAGATTCCGCCTATCTAAATGCATGGAGGAATTTCCAGAGTATGCTTCATTTAAAGCGTAACGTCTTCAAGCGTAACTTCATGCTTGACTCAAGCATAGTTACGCTTCAGTTTTACCAGTGAACCACGGTATTTGGGAACAGTTGTTCTGAACACACTCTCATTCCAAGAACGTGACACCACGTTGAAACGAACGTTACAAAATGTCACGTTCGTCTGAGCATTGTGTCACATCCGTTCGGATACGAATTGGCCAAAAATCAGCTTGTTCACATTCAAACGAACGTGACACAATGCTCAAACAAACGTGACATTTTGTCACGTTTGTTTCAACGTGATGTCACGTTCCTGGAAGGAGAGTGCACCGTGAGGTACGGTCTACTTGTACCTTTTTCCTTGAAATGTACGGCTTCTTTAACAGTGTACTTCCGCCAACATGGCGTATGTGTGCTTCCGGTTCAGGATGTACAAAAGTACCCTATTTGTTAGAAAGTGACGACTCAAACTTTCACATAGTGAGGGTGAACTCACCTGCGTAACAGTGAAGTGTTACGAAGGCTCTTCACGCAGTTGGCGATGGGGCCTGGGAGGAAATGCGTTGATTCAACCGATGGGTCTTCGAGCCGGTGGTGACTAGCGGCAACAGACGTCGCGTGGATGTCGGCTACACTCGGAGCACGGCACTGAAGAGTCGTCCGCGCTGAGCCGAAGGTAGCGATCGGACCGATTCCCTCCACAGGGCCGCGGGAGGGGGAAGCGCGCGGGCGGATGCGGGCGGACTCCTTATCCGAGGAGGAGGGGCTTGTCTCAACGGTCTCAAGGGTGCGGGGCTCGATTTTTAGCAGATGACACCTTTTATTCCTGTACTTCAAAACAGACCTTAAACTACAAGACATAAAGGTGTCAGCTAGCTTTTTATTTATTATCGACTCGCACCGCTTCAGTGTGCAGCCGTCACCTTTATCAGCCGCCGCTCGTTAACCAGAAGGCCGGCGGAGGCGACCAAAACTCTTGCCCAACACTGAGATTCCGAACGCTATGATGTTGTACGTATGGTGATGTGCACTGAGATACGGCACCATACGTGGAATGCCACAGCCATATTGTACCATACGTGCAATTGCGTCCCGACAAGGCCCAATGCTAATGCATGGGAATGGGAAGCCATTGCACTTCATGAGCAATGCTTTTGCATTGCACTAATTGACGCTATATTCATAGCGTTTTGGATTGGACAATTGCCCCCACCCCTGCCCCTAGATAGCCGCCTGAAAGGTAGGCAAAAAGCACCAATTTGCCCCTGTAAGTAGGCAAAAAGTGCTAGTTTGCCCCCCCCCCTCCCCCCGCGGCCGACTCTGGATCCGCCACTGAGTTCTGAACTACGAGGACAAGCAAATTAGGCGCAAGTGTTTGAACAAAATAGCAAAACGCGATCTGTGCCCCCTTGACCTTCTACTTTCGTTTGTGTTCAGTAATTTACTTCCTTTTTGGAATTACACGAGCGTCCGACTGGCGAGCAGCCCCCTGCCTCACTCAGAAGAGGCCGTGTTATTCGGGGGCGGGGCGTGGCGCTGTGAGCTTCTGCGTCTATAATTACTGGGGCCGACAGAAGGGGTGGCCGGCCGGCCGGCTGGGAAAGGGGGGGACATGGGAGTGACCCGAATATTGCGTGACTTTTGCCCTCCTCCTCTTTCACTCGTTAGTCTTCTTCGTCGCACTCATAACTACTTTTGCGCCCAGAGCGCCGACCGGAGTTTCCACTTTCACTTCTCTCATTTTCGCTTTCTGCACTCTCTCTCTCTCTCTCTCTCTCCTTCCGCACTCGAGTGGGCGTGGGGCTGCGCCCTCATACATCCTCGGCCGGGTGGAAGTGGGCCAAAACGGTTAAATTGAGGCCTTTGTGGCGGGGCAACGCCACTCGGCCTCGCCCGGCCCTACAGCCTCAAGTCACCGGCCGGCGGAACGGCGGCGTGCGTCCCGGGGTTTTACAGCATGCCGCCGTTGTGTTTGACCAGTGAACTAGGCCACACGACTTGCGCTAGTTTCGGACAATGAAATGAAAAACAAATAAAATGTCCTGCAGACCGGATGTCATTGCGTGTTCAGCTTGTGGAGGCTCATTTGCATGTAAATTTGTAGTTTTGACTGGTATTTATGATGATTAAAATTCAATCATAATGCGAGGTAGACGTAAATGTTTCCTATTTCCATTCGAAGAGCTAGTTAAATGGAAGCACAGCTTTTCATTTCTTGTAGTATTATTTTATGTAACGTTGCGCGAAGACGGTTTAAAAATTGATTTTGCTGCTCTCAATCTTTTAAACAATCCTCCAGTGAATTGGTGAAACACAAGCCAAATACGCAGCATCGCTTCGGAATACGAAGGAAACGAATGCATTGCAAGATAAACCTACGAAGAATTGCGTTGAATTGAGAACGAAAGTCCTTCAAAATACGAAGTATTTCTTCACAAACGAAGCATTTAATGCCTTCATCTCCTTCGTAGCTACAAATCAGATGCTTTTAGGCCTTTTTTGGATTCTAAATGCAACGAATGTGACACGGTACTCAAACAAACTTCTCGCGATTCACGTGGAGTTTCCAACCTCCTTGAAAAAGTGGGGAGATTTTCGGTGTTGCATTCATCAACACATTAGAAGTCAAGCCTGCCTACCTCCCACATGCACGCACGCCCAGCTTTTTCCTCGTGACGTCCAATCGCACTGCGCAAACATGTTTTGCATTGTACTTCCTAAATTACGAACGCCTCCACTGGACTGAGCCGAGGCTATGCTGTTGGCGTTGACACGGCTCGTGCAGCACAGCAACGCCCCTTGATTGTCGAGCACTGCGAAAAAAATTCCGCAGATTGCTACGGAAAATAGAGTACGGTAGAAGAACGGACCTTCCGTACTGGTTCTCAGTAGTCCGCATAAGCATCTAATGTCGCAGACGTGCGGAGCCGTAGCTGGTAAAGTACGGACGGACGGTCCAGGTAAAGAATTGACCCGACGGCGTTTCGTACTCTTTCCGACTACTCGACCTGCCCCTCTCGATCCTGCTTATCCTGCTTCGAGTTTGCTCTACATTGTGTTTCTCTTTCATTGTGCAATAGAACAGTTGAACATCGAAACCTTTAAGTTCATCTTCTTTAAAATATTCGTGACTCCTTGTACATAAAGAAATATCTATCGATACGACACTTGGGATATGATTTGTTGGAATGAGAGTGTAGTACGTTGCGTTGCGTATGCTCCAAATGCTGCGAGGGTGTCTCAACGTTAAACCCAAACGCGGAACTATTCCCGCGCGAATCCTGAGTAAGTGATTCTGTTACGGCGGCCCCACCCCTGCCCGTGCGGCCCGTGCTGGCGGCACACATGTGGTCGCGGCGCACTGCCTTGGGCGCGCCAGACCCAACGCATTTCCCCCTGGCGCGGCCGCATGGGGCCTCTGATTGAATCCGACCTTGATTTCGGACCGCCTCGGTTTGCATGCCATTTCACCGGCAGCTTGTCACGACTGGGCCAGAAAACCGGTGCAGGCGGCCAAACCTCCAGAGGCGTTCTTAAGCTCAATGGGACTCGAACCCAGCCATGGACTCGACCCCACCAATGGATACCTCGTTCGGAGAGCAATCCATTCGTGGGGTCTTATGTTGGATTTGAGTCCCATAAAGAGACTGTGGAGCCGCCGGCGCCGGTCTTCTGGCCCACTGTGTGGCGTCGGGGCGTCTGTGCAGCTCACGCAAACAGCCCGGCTGCTGAGTGCCACTGGCAGGGTCTGGCGCTACCTGAGTGGCTTTGTGACCGTCTGTTAGGTCCGACAGAGTGACCGTCGTCCGCTGTCTTGTTTGCGGCTTGCGTAGAGGCCGGCGCAGCTTTGCTTAAACTCAGTACCCACGCTGAAATATCATCCACGTTTTTGTCATAAAGTGACAGCACATTATCACAGTGTACCTACCAGGCGCCGCCTGGCGGGTAGCATACCAGTTTCCGGAATGGTGTTAGTGGCTGCAAGTTCCGCGCACCGTTCAGGAGATGGCCAAGCGCCAGCCACAGCGCCACAGCAACCCGGAGCGCTCGGAATGGCTACCTTGCGCAGAGGTACTCGTCAGACAAGGCATCTGTAGTTTGCGATTGAGGTGTCACACTGGTAAAACAAAGGCGTACTGTACACTGAGGAGTCATAATCACGACTAAAATTTTAGACGAGGTAACTTTATCGCTCAAATTTGGGTCAGGAAACTAACCACACCCAAATTTCAGCTAGCGTATTGTCGAGCTATACGATATTTCCCTTATCACCCAAATTTGGGTGAAAAAACGATCCTCACCCAAATTTGGGTGAGGAAGTAAGTATACCTTGCCCAAAATTGGGCATTGATCAAGGCTTTTTCATCCTCAGTGTACTAGCGTACAGTCCGCTCTCCCTTCGTGAAGTGATAGCAATCCGAGGAGATGGTTTTGCCATGCATCGGCAATAATGCAGTGGCCACTATCGGGCGACAGGGGCTCAACCTGGCCGTGCCGGGCCGACTGCCCAGTTCCATTAGCGCCTGCAGCGCGGGCCAGCCCGCCGCGGCCGTCAGTGTAGCGGGCAGGCCTACCCCGCGGTCCGCAGGGGCCTTGCCGCCCTGGCAGCGCGACCAACACGCCTACCCCATGAAAGCGGGAACGCCACCGACATTCTCGCTTTGCATACTTGCCAATTTTTTTCCCCTCCCAAACAAACTGTAAAGCCCACACGAGTGTTTCTGATTCGTCTCCTTCCCCCGTCTGCACTGAAAAGAAATTTGCTCCCACTTGAGGAGCAAATACTCCCTCTTGAGGAGCAAATACTGATGAGACATTTTTATCGCCTTCAAATGATCACAAGTTGAGAGCAATTTTCATCAAGATTCTAATTGTTTGGACGTGACAACACTTCAACTGGTCACGTTACTTTTTTACATGACATTTTCATGAAGATCCTATAGTAGTCCCGTCAGGCACTGAAAGTAATTTGCTCCGACTTGAGGGCTACAGTATTCCCTCTGTAAGTCCGCACAGTCTTCTCCGTAGGACCTGGAAGACTGTATAGTCCTACGGAGATCACTGTAAGGTCTTACGGAGAATACTGTGCGGTCCTACGGAAAATACTGTAAGAGCCTACGGAGAATATTGATAAGGGGGCTACGGAGAATTACCACAAGCTGTTTACAGAATTTTCTGTAGCTTTTTGCCACAGTGGTAAATGAACAAGACAAATGTCATAACGCACTCTAAAAGTCTTATGATGAAGATTCTCCATATTGTGGTGAAAATTCTCCATATTATGGTGGTGCAGCTGACTTCGTAGCTTACAGTTCAAAATTCATTGTACCTTACGAATATTGTCGATTTTTTATTTTTTTTATTTTTTGTATTATGGAGGATATTGCCACCATAATATGTTAATACAACCTTTCACCGTAGGGACATTTAGAGTACGACTTTCTCAAGCAAATAAGCCTTGAAACCTGAAACCTTGTCATTCAGAGACAAACAAAATTTTCACGGCGTGGCCGAGTTGCAGCGTGCAGCGGAGCCTGTAATTTGAACGAAGTCCGAGTTCCAACACATTAGGACGCGAATAATAAATCTTCCAGCGTCCCTTTTTTCATTCTTTTTATCAGTGTCGTGGCAGCTGTGAGTGCTGCAGTGCAGTGGCAAAAGCGCGGAGCACAAAGCGCGTGGCTGTGTGCATCCTCGGGGATGCGCGTCGCATTCCAGCGTGGAGGCAATCCCCCGGCGGGTGGGCTACGAGGCCCTGCCGACGTCGCACAGTGGGCCAGAGGACCGGCGCAGGCGGCCGACGCGTTTTGAGCTCCAGAGTCCCTTAAGAGGACTAGAACCAAACGTGTGACCCCACTAATGGATTGCTCTCCACACGAGGAATCCAATGGTGGGGTCACAAGCCCGGTTCGAGTCCGCTGTTTAGCGACTATGGAGCTCAGAACGAGTCTGGAGTCCAGGCCACCTGCACCGGTCTTCTGGCCCACTGTGCCCCGCCCGCGACACAGCGGTGCGAACACCACTTCTCCCCAAAACACTCTAAATATCTTCATGTACTTTCATTGTTCGAGATGAATTCGTCACGATTGCTCGGATACGGTGTCACATTCGTTGTGACGTAACAAGGCCGTTCAATTATAATGCAAATTCGTTTGATCGTGGATCAACGTTCAAAGGAATAAGACATTAAAATTCAAACGAACGTGACAGAGTTCACATTCTTAAGGAATACGTCGTCTCAGTCGTTGAATAAAAGACTGACTGCGTACTTGAACACTTCCTGGTGGCTCCTTTGCAGATTTACACCCCGCCAGTTCCCCTTTATGCTGCTTCTTTCCTCCGAACGAACGTCGGCGCTGCTGTGAACAGACAAGCTCAACGCGCCATCTTCATACAACGAAGCGCTCGGGAAAATGATTCTTTCTTTACAAAAAATGGGGGAGGAGGGGAAAAAAACGTTTCGCGAAATAATAAGACTTACAGCGGGGCGGGGACGTGGCTACAGCTAATGACCGCAGGGAAAACGAGAGAGAGAGAGAGAGAGAGAGAGAGAGAGAGAGAGAGAGAGAGAGAGAGAGAGAGAGAGCAGAAGAAAGGCGAGGGCGGGAACCTCGTAGTCGGATTGTGATGGCCGGGCTTGAAGCCAAAGGCATGCCACTGGCAGGGTGTAGCAAGAGAGAGAGAGAGAGAGACTTGACCTTGGTGCTGGTAGCGACCACGACATGTGGAACCAGCACGCTGGTTTCGAACGGTGGCATTTGTCGCATTGTGGTCTCTGTCGCACTCAGGAGGTGCTCCGTAAGAGAGAGAGAGAGAGAGCAGCGAGGCGGTAGTGTTCGGAATCAGCCAGCAGCAATAGCAACCAATGCCGCCAGAAAGGAAACTCGTTACTTTTGAAACGCGAGGTCCATGCTCGGACTGGAACTCACTCGGCCAAGATAAACAGGACCGAGGCAGGGGAAGCATGCAAAGGGAGCGCGACGGCATTTCCGCTGCAGACTTCCAGTGGCGGCCACGCCGGCCACGACGGCCAGTGTGAAAAAGATCTGTTCGTGCTCAGCCCCGACGGCTTTGGTTTATGTATTCTCCTCGTGACGAACAGTTCCACACGGATGGAAAGAACGAGGCTGCATGAAGCTGCAACGGCCCACAGTGGACCAGAGGACCGGCCAGCTCTTAGACTTAGAGTCGTGACCCCCCCAATGGATTGCTATCCGGACGCGTCCGGGATTCTGACCACCTCCACCTGTGTTCTGGCCCATCGTGCAACTGCACTGTGCCAGAAACTAGGCTCATTTTTACCTATTTTTATCCAAAAGAGATCTCTTTTGGTTCTGTCTGTTTTACCCCTTCAGCTTGGCACGCACACGTACTCACCCTATCGGCGGTTTTCCCTAGACTCTTTCAGCCTTGGCCGGCTTTGACGAATAAAATCTTCACAACTTCGCGTCGATATTGATGTACAGATGGGTTCTGTAAATACTCTCAGATGAGGAAAAAAGGAAAATTCAGTTATGGCTTGTCGATGCGCCGAACGAAAGAGTGTCTCGCGTAACTTTTTCCCCACGCACCGATAAACGGAACTTTGGGAGGCACAGCCCGTCGCTAAGTAGCAGCGACGCTGAAGAATGGGTGAATCCGCGGCGCGCTTCTTTACACCTCCCCCCCCCCTTTCCCCCTTCCACTTTCGCGACAGATTGCTCCCGGCAGTGTTGCCCTCGCCAGACATACCCTTTTCCCTTCCTCCGGACGGTCGTTGGGGCCGACGGATCTCACTTGCGCTCTACAAGCGGGCCAGTTTTTTTTCGTGTTTTTCTTATCACTCGTAGTCAGCGAGCGGTACACACAAACAACGACATTCCATTTCCTGACAGCTTCCCTCCGTGACAATTTCTCTTTCAAAATGCCGTGAAATTTGATATATCAAGTCCCCGTCGTAGTTAATTTTGTCCGTGGCTCACACTATGAACACAATTTTGTACGAGATGTCACGAGCAGATCAACGATTTTCGTTCACGAAAAACGGTACACATTTTTCTACTTTCGTGCAAAATCACACCCTGAAAAGCCTACGAAGTAATTTGAGTATGGAAGGTACAAACTGTTTAGTTTGTTATACGTAGTTTGAACATTGTTCAGTATTTTCTTTGTAAGCTCTTAAGGGGGCAGTCTCGTCCCTGTACCCTTTTTAGGAGGGTTTTCCCCCCTCTTTTGATGATGATTTTTGGCTGAGCGATAGCGAAGCCTGTTACTCCAGTGCGGTTGAAAAGTTTTGTCTGTCTGTCTGTCTGTGTGTCTGTGTGTGTACACTACTCCTCCTGAACGGCTCGGCCGATCTCGCTGAGATTTTGCAGGCTCATTAGGTATGTTCCTGGCTCGGCACACGCGAAATTTCACTATCCTAGCTCACGTGGTTCAGTTTTTATAGCCGAAAAACACATAAAAAACGGCGAAAAATCGAGTTTTCTGCACGCACATTACTTTCGGATTACTTGTGTCGTGAAGGAAGGGGGGTCTGGGGGGCGGAGCCCCCCAGCCCAAAATCGCTTTATCTGTAGATGAAGCATCTCTATCTATAATGTAGGGGGGTCTGGGCCCCCAGCATGCAACAAGTAACCGCCGACGGACAAGCCAATGCCTGCCGAAGGCAGGCTAGCGCCGCAGGCCAAGGTACACTGTCAGAAAAAAAGTCCGTAAATTTACGGAGAAAGTTACTCTAATTTTGGGAATGGAGGCTCCGTAAATTTTCCATATTTTTACGGAGATTTTCCGTATTTTTACGGAGATGAACCGCATTTTTGCAGAAATAAACGCATTTTAACGGTTTACTTCCCTCCTTCCACCTTCGATGTTAATGCAAACAGTGTCCTTTGAGACGAAAGTGATATTCTCCAAAACTGTTAGAGGATCCGCTTGACCACATGCCATTAGGATCGGATAAATAAACGGAAACCCAAAGGCGAGGTCGCTTTAGGGAAGGCGTACTCTTGGAACACCTAATCAGTTGGTCACCCAACCCATCGATAACGTGAATTAGTCTGTTTTTTTTTATAAGTAAGGCTTCTATTTCATTTATATACATAACTTCCATATTTTTACGGAGAAAATCCATAATTCAAAAAAACGGAGATCTCCGTAAAAAAAAATGGACAGTCTCCGTTAAATTTCCGTATTTTTACGGAGTTTTCTGACAGTGTAGGTACGCCAGGCGCGGATTGGAGGAACAGGCCGCGAGACATCGCGAAGCCTGTTACGACAAGACGCGGTCTGGCGTAAACCTACCTTGTTTAAATATACCTCTTAGAGACAAACGGTAAAAACCAAATAAAAGAACGAAATTTTTACAACATTTTCAAAGAAAAAAAATTTGTTTTGTCCTCAGTTGTAAGGGACACTCGTGTAAATCTTGTCAGAATGTCAGAGAGCTGTCTGAAAACCTGATCAAAATTCGCGCACCTCTGAAAGCTGAAAACATCTGCTGACAGTCTGTAGAACTCAAACCGTCGATATCAGAGTAAGTTTTCAGAATTTCAGCTTTCAGAGGTGCGCGAATTTTGATCAGGATTTTAGACATGTGTCTGACATTCTGACAAAATTTACACGAGGGGAGTTGTAGGGAATGCAACAAAAGCCGACAAAACATACAAAATTTCACTGCGCGACATTTTTCTCCGGAAGTTCTTAACGTTTTGGCAATCGGTTTGCGGCATCTTGAAGATGAAAAAATCCTCTTTACTTTAACCTACAATCGTCCATATAGCCCAAGGATTACACTTTTTAAAACGTAGCCAATAACCTATACAAACTTAGGAACGGTTTTAATTTAGGTTTTCCTTGGGCTACATGGACGATCGTAGGTTTAAGTAAAGAGAATTTTTTTCATCTTCAAGATGCCGCAAACCTATTGCCAAAAAGTTAAGAACTTCCGGAGAAAATTGTCGCGCAGTGAAATTTTGTATGTTTTGTCGGCTATTGTTGCATTCCCTATGACTCCCTTACAACTGAAGACAAAAAAATATTTTTTTTTTTTGAAAATGTTGTAAAAATTCTGTTCTTTCATTTGGTTTTTACCGTTTGTCTCTAAGAGGTATATTTAACAAATCATCGTCATCATAAGAGGAAGGGAAAACCCCCCTAAAAAGGGGTACAGGGACGAGACTGCCCCCTTAAAATACTTTGTTTGGACGTCTCGTACAAAATCTGTTCGCAAAATTCGATTGAAACGAAAGTCCTTAAACTGTCCTGTAAACGCGCGGCAAAAAAAAAGCAGTGCGTGGAAGTTCCTCGCTGAGGACTCACTCGGTAAATGACTGTTTGTTTGGTATTGCGTTCCAGGAGGACAACGGGAGATCCGGAGCGTCGACAAGATGACCATCGCCACGTACGACCAGAACCGGCAACGCAGCATGAAGCGGGCCATGAAGAAGTCGCGCTGGATCGCCGTGGTGATCGTGTGCGCCTACCTCGTGTCCTGGCTGCCCTACTACATCACCATGCTCGTGTACTTTCTCTCACCCGACCAGGAGCAGGTTCGTTCGGTTGATATATCGTTGAGGTCACTGATTGGCATTTATTAAAGCCATAAACGAAATCCCCTAACAAAAATTCCGATAAAAATGTCGCAGGAATAATTGTTAAAAAAATTACTAAACCTTTTGAGGAATGCATCACATTTTCCGTTTTGAGTCACTTTTTTGAGTATGTTGCCCGGTCAAAATGTCACATCTATTCAAAGCGAAGCGAGTTTCGTCCGGTACTAGGTACGCTCCTTGTCCCAAAGATGCTCGTTTAACGTTGTGAAATATTTCGGCTCCCGATTATTTGTGAGTCCATAACATTTTCAGGGTGTCCTCCACAGATCGATGCATTGAAAAGACACGAATCAGGATGGAAGGTCCCTGACTTGCGGCTTCCCTCTGTGAAGGATGGGCGTAAAGAGAAAAGCCTTCAATTTTTTGGCTGAGCGATAGCGAAGCCTGTTACTCCAGTGGGGTTGAAAAGTTTTGTCTGTCTGTCTGTCTGTCGGTCTGTCTGTCCGCACTACTCCTCCTGAACGGCTCGGCCGATCTCGGTGAGATTTTGCACACTTCTTAGGTATGTCCTTGGCTCGGCACACGCGAAATTTCACCATCCTAGCTCAACTGGTTCAGTTTTTATTGGCGAAAAACACCTAAAAAACGGCGAAAAACAGAGATTTCTGCAGATAGACCACTTCTGTCTTGGAGAAAGGGGGGTCTGGGGGGCGGAGCCCCCCAGCCTCGACAAGTTAAAAAGTGACAAGGGTCAAGATCGTGTTATCTGTAGATAAAACAACTCTATTTACAATGTAAAAGTTAAAAAATAACCGACAACGGACAAGCCATTGCCTGCCGCAGGCAGGCTAGCGCCGCAGGCCAAGGTAGGTACGCCAGGAGTGGATTGGAGGAACAGGCAGCGAGACATCGCGAAGCCTGTTACGACAAGACGCGGTCTGGCGTAAACCTACCTTGTTTTATTTACTCTTTGAAGTTTGCATAAGAAACCTTACCGAATGTTGACATGAAATCATGCCGTGCTCTGGCCAGAGCGCCAGAGGACTGATTCCACGAGTCGTTTTTCGTCGCTGTCTCCCTCGCACTCATCGGGTGTCCCGTATCGATGCGAGAGAGACAGAGCGACGGACACGACCCTCCGAATCAGTCTGCTGGCTCCGGGGCCGAGCAAGAAAGGCCGGAAGTCGAAATGGAGCGAGTGACGTCATCGCGTTAATGCCCACTCCACTTCATCTGTCCTGTCGCCCTCCTCGCTATCAAATGCCAGGCGTCCCTAATGGCAACAATTAATGAAGACGCATGGCCCTAACCAATCATTTATCAAGCGATCGCAGCCACTTTGAAACACTGCGGCGTCCTTTCGAGGCTGTGCGGTTCACTACACTGTGGGAAAAAATCATAGTAAAGCCTGTAGTGATTAGTACAGCTGTCACTGTAGTTCAGAGTACAAGATTTACTGTACTTTTATAACAGGATCTACTGTACTTTGTACGGGATTTACTGTACCACAGGAGTGGAGTACGGAATATCCTGTACCAGGTACAGTAGATACTGTAGCCAGGCACGGTAAATCCTGTGTTCTGAACTACAGAAAATCCCGGCAAAAAAATTAACGGGATTCACTGTGTTTTTTTCGCACAGTGTACGTCACGTAGTGGGTGTCACTTGCTCATTGTTTTTTCTTCCCTCAACTCGGTTCCGCTCTTTCCTTGGGCCTTTCCAAGCCTTCGTCATCAATATTCGTAGGTTCAGAAAAAAGAGCGCGTTGTGAAAACCCTTAACGCAACAGTATTACCACTTATGGATGGCTGAAATTTATAATTAGCATTGAAACTACCAAGGGACAAAACTTAAGGGGGGAGACTCGTCTTTAACACAAAAATTTTAACAAATTTCAGGCTTAAATAAAAAATGTTTCCAATAGATTTGAAGGTTAGTGGGGTTTTCCAATAAAAAGCTGGTTCTTTAATCTTGATTTTGAAAAAAAAAGTTTGTCTCTAGGCCCTATGACCTAGAATCTGTGATATTTCTACTAAAACACTAAAATGCGCCAAAAATTCACTGCGCGCATGATTTTTGGAGAATGCGGCATCATATCATAAATGTCTTTGTTCCTCCCTCAAGAAGACTCCTGGCACTCTAGATTGAACTAGAATGATTGAAATACCTCGTTCCTAAGTGCCTGAAATTTACATTTTTAAGTGTATTAAAAAAAGCCTTTAAATTTAGACATTTCAATAATTTTTATCGGGCACTTCTACTGGGCCGATTGAAGATATCCTAGTTCAGAGTGACGGTCTTATAGAGGCCAAACATAGGAAAAATTATTGGGTCGAAACAATCAACGGTCTGGCTCAAATCGTGCGCGCAAGACCCAAAATATTGCAATTGAGTAAAATGGCTTCAAAGTTCGAACGGTCTAACCTATCCTGTGGAAAAATAATTACAAAATGTCACCCTATGGCCAAACGGTTTTGAAATTCAATACCAGCCAGCCACCAATTTCAAGGGTTTAACACAAAGAATTCAAAAAACTGAAAAACGAAAATCTGATTTTTTGACGTAGAATGACGAGTCTCCCCCCTTAAAGCCAACCAGAAGGCGTTTTTTTTAAGAATGGTATTGGAAAGCTTTGCACCCTAAAACAGACTGATGCCCACTCGGGCATTTGTGCCCGTAAGATGTTTTGCGGACAAACTTCGGTCCGCGCCACAGTAGTTAAAAAATTAAATCATTTCCTCGTTTACCCTCGACGCTTAAAAGTTATACCAACGAGCTGTGACCAGGGCTCTTCAAAAACGGCAAAAGAGGCCGGCCGCACTGGCCGAGCTCGGCCAGCGACAGGCAAACGACAGTCCGCTAGAGCGGCCGGCCTACGCTGGCCACAGCGGCCTGGACCCCAGGCCGGTCGGCCAGCGTAGGCCGGCTGCCCAATAGCCAATAAGATTCACGGATGCGGCCAAGGTGGCGCCCTCGTATCAAGCGGCTGTGACTCGTAAAAAAACTGATAAATTTAAATTGTCCTGCATCCCAGGCCTACCTTTTCTTCAGGTCGCGACGGTTGCCACCCGTCCTTTCCAATGTCGCTTATCTTTTTCAGCCAGCTCTCCTCCGAATAGAAGTGCTTCCCTTGCACACTGGTAAAACTAAAGCGTAACTCTATGCTTGAGTCAAGCATAAAGTAACGCTTGAAGACATTACGCTTGAAATGAAGCATACTCTGGAAATTCCCCCATGCATTTGGATAGGGGGAAACTTGGCGGATGAGCCTGTTACGCTTGATTTCAAGCGTAAACTGATTACGCTTGAAAACAGTGGGTAATACTACGCTTTAGTTTTACCAGTGCACTGTGAGAAAAAAGTACGGAAAAAGTACGGAACATGTCTGGTCAATAATTTGCCTGGAACGTCCGTACTTGCCAACTACGGAACGTTCCGTACTTTTTTTCTGTACCCATTTACATGGGTTCAGATGGAGCAAGTACGGTACGTTCCGTACTTTTCTCCGTACCTCCGTACCATATTTTTCTGTACCATTTCCGTACAAAAGTACGGAACTTGTTACAGTGTGCGCTGTCCTGCATCGCGCGAGGTGCAGCTTCCTCCCCCCGAGATACCCTCTCACGCGACACGTCCCTTACTTACAACGCGCCGCGGGAGCATAGCCCTACTCCACATCGGCCTCCTTCTTTCCTCCGTAATTGAAACGTCATGATTTGCATACGGCCTTGGTACTCACTGCCTCGTGCCTTCTCCAGAACGCCCGTGCTGGAGCAGACAGACAGAATCTGGATGCGGACTGTGCCAAAGACCCAGAATGCTGCCATACTTTCCACACTGAGAAAACCTTACGAACTATTTTACACTGTGAGAAAAGAGTACGGAAAAAGTACGGAACATGTCTGGTCAATGATTTGCCTGGACCGTCCGTACTTGCCAACTACGGAACGTTCCGTACTCTTTTTCCGTACCCATTTACATAGGTTCATATGCACTGTTAACAGAAGTCGTTATTTTACAACTGTAGGGGTAGGTTGGGGAAGAAAAGTACGAAACGCGTACTTTGCACTGTACAGAAGTTCCAAATGAGGATTCAACTATTCTGCTCTCGTGAACATGTAATCCAATGCCTTCCTAATGAAATGGATCACTGTTCGTTGATTTTAGTTCCCCACATCACGTACAACATGCCAAAATGTATGTGATTTCGGAACTCCTCGAAAAGGGTAAGAAAAGTTCACCACGGGGAGAAAAGTACAACGAAAAGAATTGCGAGTTTGAACCAGGAGACCACCAATCTTGGCTCAATACAGGTTCACCCCTAAAATGGAGAGCTTTCACTTGCCATTAGTTCAAGTTTCGTCAAAATCGGTCAATTGGTCCTGATTCTACATGGACTCATCACAGAAGGTCCAAGAAGCCTTTTCTCAGAGATAAGTGGGTACAGCATTTTTGTACTTTTCCTCCCCTTTTCACGTAAATGCCCAATAACTTGTTTATTTCGAGTCTAGCTCTATAACTTGTGTTGACATTTTTCGCTTGTCTCGCCTAATCAAATATATTTCCGTGATCAATTCAATTTTCATCCCGCTTTTAGTTTCTTAGAGGGCGTTATTTTCTTCCCCAATACCTGTACTTTTCTTCCCCGGCCGACTGTACTTTTCTTCCCCATTTCATTTTTACACTTATAAAAAATTGTGTTGAAGCCTAAGAGCATCGAACGGCACTGTTTTTCAAAGATGATAGTCTAAGCTATAAGGTGGTACCTTACATTGGACTGTCGGCTGGTTCTGCTGGAAGCTGTACTTCAAAGTACAAACATTAAAAAAAAAAAAAAGATTTTTCATAGCTATTTTTAATGTGTTTTTCAAACGTGCAGTTTGATTCTAAATATTTTATGTAGAACTGGGCTAAATTTATTTTTTGTCAGCGGGATGACCAATCTTTCAACAACCACTAACGTGATGGTTCAGTGTAGTTTCATTTCGGAGATATAACGGGTGTACTTTTCTTACCCGAGCTTCGAGTGTACTTTTCTTACCCAACCTACCCCTAATCCCAACAATTAGTGTTGTAATTTTACAAATAATAATTCGTAAAATAACTACAAGATTCATGAAATGAGCAATTGTCATATTTTCGACAAACTTAACTCATAAATTTAGGAATAGATTCGAAATTTTACGATGAAATCTTAATGTTACTGATGAAAGATCGTAGTTTTACTGATAAAACCATCATCTTACGACTATTCTCGTTTTAACACGCGTAAACTTGTTTTCTTACAATTCGAGCTTTATTTTTATGAATAGTCGCCTGTTAAATCTGTACCACGAACTGCATGTTTTTTTACGAAGTAAATTGTAAATTGACAAATTGTTCATCATTTTACAAACTGCTTCTTAAATTTACAGGTGAAATCGTAAATTTACAAGCATGATTGTAAAAGCAAGTCTGAAAAAATGCGTTTTCGTCCGTTGTTTCCTTACTATGTAGGAAGAAAAAAATGTCTGAAACGACCAAAATTTGAGGATGGGGTTTGTAAGTTTAAGAATATTTTTGTAAATTGACGAAAAAAAGATGGATGATCAGATCGTTTTTTAAATTTACGAGCAGTTCGTGGTACAGATTTAACAGACAATTAATCGTAATTTCACGAAATAATCCCGAACAGTGTGGAGCAAGTACGGAACGTTTGGTACTTTTCTCCGTACCTCCGTACTATATTATTCTGTACCATTTCCGTACAAAAGTAAGGAATTTTTTACAGTGTAGGCCTAACAAAGAAAAGCAGTTTGTTATAACAAAGTTTCTTGAGCATACATAAGCTTGCAAAGAAAACGCTTCGTAATTTACGAACTATTTCTTCGTATAACAAAGTTAATTTGTTTGTATAGTGTATGCTCAAAATACTTTGTAAGGTTTTTAACTTTCGTAAAGCAGCGAAAAGAAAAAAAAATGCTTTCACATAACATTTTGATTTCAGTGGTATGACTCCAAGTGGATGGACTGGATCTTCTTCTTCGGCATGGGAAACAGCGTCGTGAACCCGGCAATATACGGCATGTTTCAACTCTGGAAGCCCAAGAGAAGACGACAATGGTCCTGCTTCAGGCACAGGTCGGTATTTTTTCGATACGGCAATGCATCTTCGCAACTTGTTGCCACTGCAGATGTACTATCAGAAATATGTTGGGAGAGACATAGGCGATTTCCAGGGAGTTCCTGGGAAAACCAGGTTCACCGTATGGTGATTTATCACGCTGTTCACCCTAGATTCCAATCTAGGAGTTTAATTAACTTCTAACCTTGCAATCAAGACCAAAGACACTCTACCTTCCAATACCAATAACTCTTGTCTCCCTTGCGATCACTCAGATGTGGTTGGAAATACCTCAAGTTTTATTAAGGGCCTGTAGAGCGCAGTACACCCACCTGGCTTTACATTTGCGTGTTGCAGAGGAGGCTACACAGGAAGCCAAGAGCTGACATATGTACCGGAAACACGAGTGGACGTCCTTCTTTTGATATGCCACTGTGTGTTAACGATTTTAAGCACTAGAATATCACGAATTCAATCCAATTGTGCAACATTAAACAATCACTAAATTAGCTCGTCAGTGACTTTCCGGTCAAGATCACTGCTCTCGTTGCTTCCGTCCGATCCTCGCCAATTCGAAAATACCCTACTGGTTCAATACCTATCCCACCCCTGCACCTTGTCCTTTAATAGACCATTCTAGTCGTGGCCGAGTGAAGAACAAGAAAAATCACAATAGGCAGCCTTTTAGCATATGCTAAAGTGCGCACTTCTACTTTAAATATTTAAGACTCTTTGCTTGGTAGAAGTTAGTGAGACAGTAAATGCAACATATTTTGAGTGAACATTTGCGCTCGAAATGCCCTAAATGAGTCTTCTGAGATTCTTCTTGTTTTTCACTCGGCCACGATTAGAATGGTCTATTCCCTCAGAACACTGTGGAACAGCCTAAGCTAGCATATGGAATTCCTGACAGCAAATGATTGCTGGTTGCAGGGACGGCTCCACGCAGGTGTCCCAGTTCGTGACGCAGGACAGCTTCCGGCGGCACGGCACGGCGGCGTGCAGCCTGGTGCCGCCCCGGACGCCGGCCGGCGCGTCCGACGGCGGCGTCTCCCCGACGGCGTCCTGCGCGCCGTCGGCGCCGGCCTCGCCGCTCCCCGTGCCCCTGCACGCCCTCCCGGACGTGCGGCGGCCGAGGCGGCTGGCGCCGGACTGCGCCGAGACGACGCTCATCGCCACCACGGCGTCCCTGACGACGCCGCGCGTCTGCGGCGACGTGGTCCTCGAGGTCCCCGTCGTGGTGCGGACGGCCGGCAAGGCGGGCCCCTTCGGCTGGAGGGCCAAGTTCCTCCGCAAGTACAGGGCTCTCCGGGCGCACTCTCAGGCCCACATTTGAGCGGGCGGTTGCTGGATCCACTGCAAGGAAAAGCCACAACAAAAGTACACGAATTTCTAGCAAATTTTTTATCAGGAATCTATTGTACTCTCGAAGTACAACAATACAATGGAACCGGCATGACGAGTGCTGGGCAATCCAGGCCTCGTTGTGGTTTGTACATTTCTCGTTGTACTTTATACAGTCCCTATTGTACTTTTATTGTACAGTTTTCGTTGTACTTTTGTTGTACTACACTGGCCGTCAAAATTTAAGCCCCACTTTTTCCTTCTCCTATAACTATTGCTGGAATTGAGCTAGAAACTTGAAATTTTGAGGAGAGATGGGCCAAGGTGTTGGGTTAACGTCCCCAAACTCAGGTCTAAAAATCCGCTCTGTTGACAGCGGATCCGGTTTGGTTGGAGTGGATCCACTGCGGCCGTAGTGGATCCTCTAAGTGCTTAGTGGATCCTCTATGGGGTCACAGCGGATCCGCTTGGGCCACACCGGATCCTCTACGATCCGCAGAGGAGAGGATCCGGTGAGTACAGGATCCATTAAGCCATACCGGATCCCTTAGAGCAATACCGGATTCACTGAGCGCTTACCGGATCCACTAACCTAAGCGGATCCACTGTGAGTTTTCCGAAATGAAGTGGCTATAAACTCCAAAGTTTTAGGAATTTTGACCCCAAAATTTATACAGGGTATATTAAAGAGAATTCACTAGGGCCATTTTAATTTCTTTGCAATCGAACAACTTGATATCGCTATCTTGTAAACCGCTGATGATAGCGAGAAACGGATTGCACATTTGGATCGGACTCGGTTTCATTATGCAGGAGTTCACTTTTCAAAATTCAAATCCCTTTGGTAGTTTTCCAAATAAAGATTTCATGTTTGCTCAGAGGATCCACTAAGATCATAAAAGATCCGCTTAGGCCATCCGCTGTGGTGACCGCATCCGCTTTGGTGACACCGGATCCGCTGTGGTAACAACCGGATCCGCTGTAATGACAGTGGATCCGCTACTTACGGGTAGAATTCGCGTCCGCTTAGAACGGGATCCGCTACCACTCACCGGATCCGCTTCGATACCGGATCCTGTATAAAAGCGGATCCGGTGTGCGGTAGCGGATCCCGTTCTAAGCGGACGCGAATTCTACCCCTAAGTAGCGGATTTTTAGACCTGGGAAGTTGCATCAACGAAACCCACCCCTTTGCGTCTTTTTCCACCCCTCCCGTAAAACAGTGTCAAATTTTGACACTTCTGCAAGGTTTAAAATGGCCTTCCCGTTGTCACAGAGGGTTCAAACTTGGTGAGTCGCCTCATTTTGACCTCCTCTTTCGATTAAGACCAGAGCCACCCCTTTACGACGCACCGTTCCTGAGCCAGGAAAAAAACCACCCCCTGCAAGGGATGATTCTTTAGGACCTTATCCAGGTGGTCAGCGTGGTAGCGGGAGGTCCCCCGGACACGACAAAAGTGTTTTCGCGTCCGTGGCACTCTCCAGGGGGTGTCCAGCCCCGAACGACTGACACCCCAAATCACGTTTTTCCCTAAAACCACCAAAAATGTCAAAAACTGGGCCAAAAAGCATGAAACACGATTGATTTTAACCGCCTGGATCGATTCCAGGCGAAAAAACCACACATCGTTGGTAAACAACGTTTTGGCAGGGGGTGGAAACCACTTACGCCCCTCACCCCTTTTGAAGGCTATGGGGGGCCGCCGGCGGGACCCCGTGTTCGCGGCACGATGGAGGGGTCCCTCGGGCAGCTCCACACCAAATTTGAAGTGATTCGGTCCATTCGTTCCCGTCCGGGGCCCAAAAGACGTTAAATCGTGTCACTTTCAAAACTAGCTTTGCCACAAACCAGGCGCCCAAACGCAAACAAGACAATACTCATTAAAGGCCCCCAATTAGTCCGTTAGACCAGAATAAGATTGGGCACTCAAAATAGCACCACCAGAAGGGTTAAATCAATTCGAGGGGTCCTATTCAAAAGACCTTATCTGGGCGCTCCTATTCAAAGAATCTTATCTGCAAAGCAAGCGAATTTCACCAATTTTGATCATTTGAGGCAGCTACAAATGGAAATAATTTGGGACTGTAGTTGCACAAACTTGAAGATGAAAGATCGAAGAAATTAATAGTGCGTGTAGTAATATGTTCCGCTTACCCTCTTCTCCGTCCCAAATGGTCAAACTCAGTGAATTTCGCGTGCGTTGCAGATAAGATTCTTTGAATAGGAGCGCCCAGATAAGATCTTTTGAATAGGGGGCGTCGAATTGTCAAACAGTTTTTCGCCTGGAATCAATCCAGGCGGTTAAAACTAGGGGTACGCGCCGTTTAGTGTGGGCGCGTAGTGTGGCTGAGCGATGCGACTTTGCTTAAGAAGACGAAATGTGCAGCTTGTGGGCTCATATTGAGTGAAATGTAGGTCTGGGGTAAAAATGGAGGTGATTTTCGTTATCAGCACAGAAAAAACTGTTGGAATCAACGTCAAACTCAATTCCAAAATTTTGGTCCAAAATTGGTCAAAATTTCGGTGATGCCTGAGTCTGGGAAAAATTTGGAAGTCATTTGTGAGTTCAGCGCACCAAACACTGCAGGAAACAATATAAAACTCGATTTGAAAATTTTTGTCCAAAATGACCTAATTTGGGGTGAGAATGTAAGTCTGGAATCGAAATGGAGGTGATTCTCGTTATCAGCACACAAAAAACTGTTGGGATCAACATCAAACTCAATACAAAAATTTTGGTCAAAATTTGGTCAAAATTTGGTAAAGCGTGAGTCTGGGAAAAGTTTGGAAGTTATTTTTGAGTTCAGCTCATAAAACTCGACTTGAAAATTTTGCTCCAAAATGACCTAATTTGAGATGAAAATATAATAAGTCTGAAGTAGAAATGGAAGTGGTTTTCAAAATCAGCACTCCAAAAACTCCAAGATTCAATATGAAATTCGATTGAAAAATATTGATATCAAATTGATCAATAATTGGTAAAGAATGGGTCTGGGTTGGTCTTCATGGATCACCCTTTGTCGTCACCAGTACCCTGATGCCACACCAATGCGATTCTTTCAGTCGAGTAACATTCCATTGCCAGCATAGAATCGCTTAATTGGCAACTCGTCTGCTTGAGTCACTATTAGATATATCTTTTTCTTCAAACTCATGAATTCACAAATTTATTAGTTATATTTGAGAAGCCTTTTGTCATTATTTTATTTTAAACCAGTGAATCAAACAATATAGACTGGAATATGTAATCAAACTTTATATTAAGTGACTCAGTTTAGGGCAGGCTGATCTGAAGCATTCGACGGAGACCAAGTTTTGTCAAATTCAGTGAATCGTCTCATGAAGTACAATGCAGAGGCCACTTGTTGCTCAATATGCCAGCATAATTTACCTTATTCATGCCTTGTGATATTTTATCTTTAGAGTAAAAGAATACAGTACAGTATTAACATTGGGCTTACATTCAGAGAGCCAGCTTTTAAACCATTCCCAATACTTAGTTCCAGTTGTCAGACACAAACTTTGGTGAAGAGAAAGGAATCGTGTCATTAAATCCAATTACCAAGTCACCCACCGCTCAAAACCTGAATCGTCTCATTGAACCCAATATCAATTCAAAATCTGTTAGTACTAAATATATGGATTATTCATTGCACTAAATACATCTATGTATGGATTCTTTTAATCAATAGATCTTAGTACTAGAATATTTATAATAGCTTGCAGCATTGCAATAGAATGTCATTTCCCGAGACAAACGCGAGACAGACAGACGCGCGACCAGTCAGTTTTTGGTGCGCCCAAACACGGCATGGGCTTCGCTATCGCTCAGCCAATCAATCGCGTTTCATGCTTTTTAGCCCAGTTTTTGACATTTTTGGTGGTTTTAGGGAAAAAACGTGATTTGGGGTGTCAGTCGTTCGGGGCTGGACACCCCCTGGAGAGTGCCACGGACGCGAAAACACTTTTGTCGTGTCCGGGGGACCTCCCGCTACCACGCTGACCACCTGGATAAGGTCCTAAAGAATCATCCCTTGCAGGGGGTGGTTTTTTTCCTGGCTCAGGAACGGTGCGTCGTAAAGGGGTGGCTCTGGTCTTAATCGAAAGAGGAGGTCAAAATGAGGCGACTCACCAAGTTTGAACCCTCTGTGACAACGGGAAGGCCATTTTAAACCTTGCAGAAGTGTCAAAATTTGACACTGTTTTACGGGAGGGGTGGAAAAAGACGCAAAGGGGTGGGTTTCGTTAATGAAACTTTGGGGACGTTAACCCAACACTTTGGCCCATCTCTCCTCAAAATTTCAAGTTTCTAGCTCAATTCTAGCAAGAGTTATAAGAAAAGGAAGAAAGTGGGGCTTAAATTTTGACGGCCAGTGTATGCACACTTTTTCTTGCAGTGGACTGTGCCTGCTCCTTCGGAGCGTTCTGTCAATACATGCCGTACACACTAAATGTTTATGTAGAATTTTGTACGTGCCACTTGCACGATTTTGTGCATGCGGGGAATTTGCATAATATTATGCGTGAAAGTGCATAAATTTATGCAAATTCACGCACAATTTTATGCACGACGGCACACAAGTTTAAAATTATGCATCTTCACGTACAAAATTGTACATAAACATTTAGTGTGTACAGTCTAAGATGTAAAGTCTTCAAACTCGTGGTTTTTCTCCTGCGTCAGTGACCAGGCTTCAGGGATTTTCTTGCCTTGTAAATTGGGCGTAGCTTTCAATTTTCTCCTTGTATCAATCATCATTATTTCCTCATTTTGGCCTTATTGAAATAGTCAGCCGGCTCTGGGAACGTCTAGGCACAAAATTTACACCGTTTCGGGCCTTAAGCCCTTAGGCTATTCATATGGGCATTAATTTGAGTGCCTTTATCGGAAAAAGTATCATTTTAACGCCTGAAGCCTGTGCTGGTTTTATGCCCCGTGGAAGGGCATAATCGTTTTGGAACGGAGTATATAAACGATTCCTAGCAGACGACCGAGTTACGGTCTGAACGTTGATAATCGCATCATTGCGGTTTCTGATTGCATGCATTTTTTTCTCCGGAGATGGTCACTAAGTTTTCAGTACTTCTTAAGCTGTACGAATAATGTTTTAAAACAGCAAGACTGCGTAGTTGCCAAAGGCTTGAAATGTGTGAATAAGCCAACAGTGTGGAGGCGAAACGAAAGCTAGAATAACGAGTTGAGTTTGCTTTATCTGTCGTTTTAAGAAGTTAATACTTTGTAACGCGACACCTATTTTTCGAATGATGTTAGTTGGGTATGTCGCTGTTCTCTGATTGTGACATTAATTTTGTATCCCCTACTACTAGTTCAGCTGGCATTTTCATAAACATTGTTGATTTTTATTGACAGGAGTATTTTTAAAGTAAATAAAAACACTTATGCGTTGTAAACAAATTATATGAGACTTCGAGATAGATTTTTTTTCTACTTACCATTATGTTAAGGCGTCTCTTAAAGACAGAGCCATATTAAGTGGCGATTTCCTCTTTATAAATCTTATTCAATTACTGATGTAAGAAATAAGCTCGAACATTTTCTGAATGAAATCAGAGGTTATTGGCTGGACTGTAACTTGAGAGGTGAGACGCGTGGCTAAAGTGTGACTTACGCCATTTAGCTTCAAAGCTCTGACAGAAGAGGACACAAATATCTTATCGACAAAAGGTGAGGCACCAATGTCTGACCGAAAAAAAGGTGATGTCACTACCTATCGTTCTTGCCTATTACCCTATTACAAAGCCATAAGCGCACTTAAAATGTCAACTTGTGTGACATTTTCTTCGTGAGTCATTCCTGACAGAACCTTCCTCACTGCTACAATTACATATGTTTCGGGGAATTTCTAGTCACAGGGTTCACACCGGTCAGGGAAATCAGGGAAGTCATGGAAAAGAAAATGGGCACTGGAAGTCAGGGAAAGTCAGGAAAATTCGATTTTGGTCAGGGAAAATTTGAAAAGTTCGTCAAAGTATGGAGTTTGAACGCCGCACTTGTGGCAGCTGAATGCAACTAACTCTAGAAATGCAGATAAAATTTGAAAATAAAGTCAGGGAAAATAGGTAATTTTTTCACTGGATATCAGGGAAAAGTCAGGGAAAACGAAAAGGGGAATCTGGTGTGAACCCTGAGTCAATGCTTCATTTCACACTGCCAATCCAAGTGTGAGACAGTCTCAC